AAACTGAACTTTGAGTAATCTCAATAGAAGCATTAGTAGATCCAGTTATCCCTGTGTCAGAAATAACAGTAACAGGCAAGTTACCCTTGCTATCAAAATCTATAACCTTGCTATCCTTCTTCCTCCAAACTTGCACCTCTTTTGATTTCTGATGGGGCTGCCTACCATCAGTACACGAATTGATATGGTGCCCAAATGTATTACACTTAGCACAGAATTTGGGCAACCAAGGAACATGAACACTAACATTTACAGAGGAACCATCCTTTAAGACAACCTGAATGGATTCGGGAATGGTGACACCAGCTTTAATTTCCACGCACACCTTAGCATATTCGAGTCTCTCTCTTGAAGCTGTAATAGTGTCCATGTACAACGGGTTTCCTAAGGCATTAGCAAGATAACTAAGTCCCTTCTGAGAGTAGAGTTCTAATGGAACATTATAAAGTTGCACCCAGATCGGGACAAAGGAGAGGTCAAAGCTGAGTTTCTGCATACCAGGAGACCAGCTCCTCAAGAACAATGGCTTATTCTGAACATGCCAAGGTCCATTATCCAGGACCTAATCCCTCAAACCAACATCAAAGAACGAAAAAACAAAGAGATTAGGGCCGGCGATACAAACCTTGACCTGAGAAGAATTCCCCCAAATCGATTCAATTATACGCTGCAAAGATCCAAAACTGGGAGCCGATTCAAAAAATTGACCTACCAGGGCATGATTCCAGTCCGCAATACCTTCATCAATCACCTCAGGCGGAGGTTTAACAGTAGCCACACCATCCTTTAACTCAGGGGGAAAGAACTCAAGAGTTTGATCTTTTGAACCCACGAACAAATCCTTCCAATTCAGACTCACAGAGCATGATTCCATGACAGCAACAGAACCAGAAAGTCCACAAAGAATGAGAAACGAACAAAGATTAGAAGAAAAGAAGAATATATGAGTGAGCATTAGGCCTGCTAACGTACGCCCAGAGAGCCTCCATTTTCTCTACAAAATATTTAGTAGTAAAATTGATATGGCTATTAATTCTAATAAAATTGTTGTTTATAAAAGAAATATAATATTTTCATGTGAAACTGTTGGCATTATTTGACTATACTTTCATGTGAGTGAATATTTTTCTCTGGACCTTAGCTAGTAGAACTTACAGGTACGAAATAGCATGAGGGATCTTCTTGTGATCTCATAATTTTCATGCATGCTTCTTCAGCTCATCCATTTTGGTTAAGAATTTCAGTTGATTGTCTATTTACTTTTTTCCCTCTAATATTTGGTCCTCTTTATGTGTATGGATTTTCTGCCTTTACAGGCCCCTGCCGAGCAACATTTCTTCTTATAAGGTACATCTTTCATTTTTACACTTCTCGAATGAGTTGAATGACCCTTCATGGATTTTCTTGCTTATTTAAAAATTTACTGCAACTACTTTTTGTGACTTTCTGTATCTTGCTTTTGCTTCTAACCTGTCTATTTGGTTTAGTAATATGAATGGGAAACCTAAATCTTGTACTGTTGTCTCTGCTCTAGGTGTAGAACTTTCATAAATTCATAATATATTGTATGATGATATTGATATTCAAGGTGAATTGTTATAGTACATAATTTTCTCTGATGTATTAATATGTGAAGGGATCTTCAGATGATTTCATCGATGCCAACATTCAAGTTGCCTTGGCTGTTGTCAGGAAACTCCAACAGAAAATGGAAACTCGAGCTTGCATAGTAAGATACTCTCACTTTGCTGAAAAATTGTTCCTTCGTTTCAAAGATGAGTGTAATTTCTTACTTCTTATTCAGGTGTTTCCTGATAAACCAGAAAAGCGAAGGGCCTCAGAGCTTTTCAAAGCAGCCTTTGACTCGGTAATAAAATAAATTACTCTAGATTACTTTCTATTTTTCTGTCCCACTCTGTCAAGGTGGACTCTTTCCATGGCAAGGGTTTTGTTGTTTTTCAGCCACTGAAGTACACATAGGGGTGTCTCATTGGTCATTTGGCCTGGATATGCGTTTTATTCCTTAGATGGTTTTAAGTGTCTATAAATTATGTCACTTATGTTTGAAGATATAACCTATCTATTCATGCAGTTATAGCTTTCATATAGGGGCAGTACACTTAACCTTCTGCCTTAAGTTCATAATCCTTTATTCATATCCATAGTTGCCTTTGGAGTTAAGGAATTTAATTATTGATTCTTCTTTTCAGATTGATGGTATATCTATAGGATCCCTTGATGATATCCCTAGTGGAGCTGTCACCACATTCTTCAAATCTATGAAGAACACTCTGGATTTTTATTTTGAAGATGAAAATGAAGGTTTGTTCCTGAACCAAAGCTGTGTGGAAATTTTCCTTTCCATTTATCAATGAATTGGATTACTAAATTGCTTCAAATTTTCATATCCTCTTACCCTGTTTCTACTTACACACAACACTGTGATTATTCTGCAATCTCGCAATGCAGGTCGTTGGGAATCCAAGGAGCCACCAACTCTTTATATATTTATTAATTGTAGCACGCGTGAACTTTCTGTTATAGAGAAGTATGTGGTATGATTCTTATACTTTGTACGGCCTTTCCCTATTTATTTTCTATTTATAGCTTGCTACGTGCTTGACCTTCAAATGGTGGCCTTTTGAAGTCATGCACTTCTGCTTTTGGTTCCAAATCTGATGAGTTTATGCATGAATAATCATGTCTGATCGCTGATTATTTCAAACAGGAAATAACTTAAATAATCTTCACTTTAAGATATATTGAGTCAGTAGATGGTTAAAATTTAGCCTAGAGGAATAACATATTGATGTTGTCTTTATTTCTTCCTGTTTGTGTGACTGTGCTTTGATTTTGCAGGAAAATTATGCACTGTCAACCCCCACACTTCTATTCAATCTTGAACTTGACACTTTGCGGTATAACTTTACTACTTTTTTTCACTGTTTAATGAGGATTCAATAAAGATCAGTGAATTTACTTTTTATTGGGGTTGCTTATGTTTGCAGTGCTGACTTGGGTCTTTTGGGTTTTCCTCCCAAAGATTTGCACTATCGATTTCTTTCACAATTCATCCCCGTGTTCTATATACGGATTAGGGAGTACTCCAAGGTAGTTGCTAAATACGATGTTTTGCTTCTTTGAGCTTAATTTATGACACCGTTCTAATGACCATTTCCTTTCTAAATGTTGTAAGACAGTAGCTGTTGCACCTTTTGTCGTGAACTACAGTGGAGCACTATTTCACCAGTATCCTGGTGGGCAAGTCAATCTTCTTGAAAGTTACCGTTTAACTGTTCCATTTCTGACCCATCATAGATTGAAAAAGTTGTACAAATCAACTACGGCAACTTGGTGCTTGCAGATTTGCATCTCTCTAAATCTATAAGCTCTTTTCTTTAGGATCTGCCCACTGCTTTGTGAAAAAGAAGCTTGTAACTTGCAATTTGATTTGGGCCGCAATGACGTGTATTTACATATCTCCTTGTTTTAACTTAGAATCTGTGCAGGACCTTGGCAGGTGATGCTTAAGCAATCAGATGGTTCTTTTTCTTGTGTGGCTGAGAGTGCAACTCGTTTCACTCTGGGAGAGGTATTTACCTAGACTCTTGGTCATTTTGTGTTACATTCTTTCTGATGACTTTTATTATTTGGTTTTGTCTAGACCAAGGAAGAACTGCTGCGGGTCCTTGGATTGCAAGAGGAACAAGGAAGCCAACTAGAATTTCTTCGTAGAGGCTACAAGGTTTTTCGTCTATTCTATTTTTACATTACCGTGTATCATTTGAGATTCTTAAGCTGAATGCTCATAGAAATATCCACTATGCCTCCCTGGAAAAGGTTCCAACCTACTTTTTCCTTCCGGTGAATTGGACCTTAATGTTTCGTATAACTTCGGCTTGGTAGTCTCGGAAATTAGGAACACATTTTGTATCTGATTGTTCAAAAATACACATATTTTGGCAACTTAGTGTATATATATATATATGTTATGTAGCAGAGATCAAGTATCCCGAAAATCTAATTAACCAATCAACTAATGAAGCCATCTATTATTGCAGACTTCCACTTGGTGGGAAGAGGATGCTGAATTGGAGGTATCTTCTGCATGGCGTACTTGAGCAACCGAATGACTGTTAAATACAGCGAGATGTCTCGCATATGGATGGCGAAGGTTGATGGTGCACGTAACATTTGTTCCTTATAGATTTCTTTTAAGCCCTTTCGTTTAGATTCCCCTGTAATTAATCCGCTTTCAAATCAGAGTAAGTGACAAGAACTTGTTTTTGCGTTTGATTCAGACTAGTGGAGAAGACAATGAGGAAATAAAGTGAAATTCAAGGTTGTTCACATGACTTCCTGATAAACATCAGTCAAATCTTCTTCCTTTTTTTCCCCTTAACTTTTAATTTGGTAATAAAACAACAGTTTATGCCATAATCTTGACCTGTTGTAGCAGTTTCCATGCAAATTACTAAAACTTGAAGCTTTAAATCATAATAAACCATACGAATATGGATATAAAATGAGTTCAATATAAATAAGATTGCGAATGGACAAATCAATTATATTTATTTATTGTTTTGAATTCGTTAGATCATGTGGATGTACCTCCACATAAAAGGACGTTGGAGCTAGTTCAAGGTTAGCATTAGAAATAAAGTAAAAAAAATGAGTGTCATGCTCGACTATAAATATACATATGATCAATAGTATTACAAATATTTTTCAAGCAAAATTAATGTCATTGTACAAACCCAAGACTAATGTCTTGGATTCATGCTTTTACCGAGTAAAATCCTGCAGATTTAACATTCAAATACCAACATTCGTAACCCCTTTTCTTATTTCCAGGGCTCGTGTGTGTGAAAAAAAAGTTAGCAGGCAAGTGTATGAGACGAAGTTAAACCAGAGTTGAGTAAAATTGTTTCTGAAGTCGTAACAGATACTAAAACACCTTGAACTTTTTCAAGTGTGGATCAGAAATAGTTCATTGGATTTTATGAGTCAAGATCGTAGAAATCAGGATCTTTCGGCTTCGAAACCTTGAGCAAGCTCTTTGAACTAGTCGAGCCTTTACCCTTTTGTTCGCGAATATTAGCTGCAAACCGAGATGCAAATACAGTTGCACGAAGGCTGTGGGATTCTGCAGTGCTATCAGTTTGATCAATTAAGGCCTGCTGATCATCATAAATATAGTCTAGATTCTCCTCCTCCTCTTCCTTACGTCGAAGTCCCGCTTCTTTCCTTTTCACATGCTTACGCCATGCGGTTTGGATGAAGCAGGCAGCCCAAGTCCGCCATTGCTGTGAGTAGAACCGGAAGGTGTGCTGAACCTGCCTACTATGGAGGCGCCTGAACTGACTCGAAACGAATTTCAGCTCTTCAGCTTCTAAAGCAAAAGCCTCCACCTCTGTTAAAGCCATGACTGTTCGAGTAGACAATGGTAAGTTGGAACTAGCTTTGGGGTCAAGCGCCCAAGTCAAAAGCTCCTCACCACAAAAATCCCCCTCTTTCAGCAAACCCCTGTTAAAAAAACCGCTCCTCCCACCATCTGTCGTCACACTTTCGAGGCGACCACGTATGACGAAAAGCATCTCGTTTACCGGATCCCCTTCACGGACTATGTAAGTGTATTCTGTGTATAGACTTGGTTTGAGTCGTTCACAGATTGCATCAAGTAACCTCTCATCCATATTGGCAAACAAAGGAACCTGCATACGGAATCAAAGGGACTCAAATCCATTCTCTAAGTTAGCTCATAAGGTGGAGAGTCTACAATTTTGGCAACCCATCTTGACAGGTACATGCTGAAGTGGACATTAAACAGGCAAGGAATGATAAGCAATGCGCAACTTTTACAATATATGAAACGTTCACTAAGGTCATCCACTGAAATTTAACAGTCTCTTGATGGAGAGCGAAAAAGAAATGTGTAGAGATCCTTACCCTTCGGACCAGATTCAAACAGAGATGTCGCTTAATGTCCCTCCTCAGATCTTTTGGTAAACTCTGGACTAAGTTCTCTTCATCAACTCCACGAGTCTCCATCCATTTGTATTGGTCATAGCGCCGAACTCTCTCCTTGAGATCCTCAGGAAGTGCACGATGATGCATCCATAACTCGGAGTCACGCCTTTTGATCCTCATTTCCTCAAGACGAACCGTAAGAGACTGAAGGTAGGTCTGTTGCAATCACAAGAAACCTTCAGTCATAACTGTTTTATGAAAAAATAGTTATGACAGTTTATATTATTCATTTTCCTCTTCGTCCAAAGATGAACGTGCAATAATCACTTGACAATTAACTTTCAGCCATTTCTGGCAGTTTTGAGAATCATGCTCATAACTTAGAAAACAGAATTCAGAATCAGAGCCAGAATTTTGTTGGTCCACGCAAGGGGAGTAATATGCAACATTACCTAAAATCATCTAAAATTATCATAGAAAAAGAAATCAAGGTTTATCTCAGATTTTTCATGTTAAAATCCTTAAAAATGGTATCCAGCAGGTTTGGAGTTCAGGCACTTCCAGGTTTATCACTCCCAGAAATTTTGGGTAGCATGAAAAGTGGAAATCAAAGGACTTAACATACATCTTTTTGAAGACCAAAAATTATGTTGAACTTTAACACGTTGCAGAGGTTTGCAATTTACCTGCATGTTTCCGATCAAAAGTGCCATAAGGATAAGCCCAAAGATGGCTATTGCTATGGAAAAGAGAACCTCTCCTGAATATGTGCTGGTTTCAAGGCCCTGACCAAGTGTACTGCACAAAATAAAATGAACTCTGATCAGTACATAACTCCCAGGAGTACAATAAAAGAATCTATACGAAACTCAATCGTCAAAAACCATGACAGACAAGCAGAAAATTTTCTTTTATCCTTCAAGAACCAATCACATATATATCCTGAATACCGTTTCAAGGATCCTCCAAATACATGGAAAACTTCAAAAATTAGATATACTAGTGTTGAGCATGTACCATGTCCAACACTCAACCCAAATCGGAGTATTTTTGGTAGCTTGTTAACAGAGGACATGATTTGCTACAAACAAAAATAGAGAACAAAAATGTGTTCTTATGTGTGTTGTGTATCGAAGAGAAAGTGCAGACCTTAGATTCTGCAAACCCCACCAGAGACAGAAACAGAATCTCGGGAAAAAGATGCTGGATGAAGTAATCTCAGATTCTATAGCTCGTGTGTAGATCCCATAATTGAATGGTGCATCATCATCTTCAAGAGCACATCGACTATCAAGTTCTTTGTTTCTCACCCTTCGCCATTCTGGAAAACCTTGCATATGCTTGTTGCCGCAGTACTGTTAGAAGTCAAACTCTTGGAATTGTGTAGAAGTTCAACGTGGAAAATGAAGATAGATTCACAAGTAAACAAAACAAAGTGGAAATGCTTGGCAGTACACTAAACCACACATGCATATGTCGGCAAAGATTTTTCTTTAATTGTTTGAATTCACACGGCAACATGTCAAGCAAGAATTAAGGAGAGAAGTTGAGAAGCATCCAGAGGTCCTCAAATAAGTCGGTTATACAACCTATATATATGTGTGCTTAGCCTTTAGTTGGTGTGAAGTAGTGAGCGTGAATAAAAAAGTGAGTGAGCGTAAATACGATTGAGGAGTGAAAAAATAAAGAGATTTGAGAGATATATTGTGAAGCTTAGCAAAGCTTTAAATATATTGGTGAGTTTGTAAACTAGCAGCAGCTAGTATTGCAGTATTGTAATATTGAGAGTGTCGTTGTAACATATTTTGTTTCGTATAAATAGAATTTTCTGAGTGTTATAAATTATCGTGAGCCCATCTACGCTTCCAACAAGTGGTATCAGAGCTTTGTCTATGTTGCTTCCCTTTGATGCAAGCCTCACATAATTGATTTGGAGGGTTGATCTCTGGTAGTCCTTTCACCATGCTTGTTTTTGACAACAGCTTCAATCCAGAAAATCCAAGATGTCCATATCTTAGATGCCATAGCCATGAATCATCTTTGATCGCGGTCTTTATGCACATTACTTCTCCTGACTCGATATCAATTGTAAAGAGACGATTTTGAGTCATATCAGCTTGGGCTATCAATTCTCCTTCTTTATTTTTGATGGCGAGCGAGCGATTCTTCATCTGCACTTCATATCCTTTTTCCAGGAGTTGACCAAGACTGATGATATTGCTTTTCAAAGCAGGTACATAATAAACATCTGAAATATATTTCTTTTCTCCATTTTTCTGAGTAATCATGACTTTGCCTTTTCCTTTTATTTCTGCGTGCGAGTCATCTCCGAACGTTACTCGTCCATGAACTGTTTCATCTAATTTCACAAACAGTTCCCTTTGACCACACATATGGTTACTGGCACAATTATCAAGATACCAAATATTTTTCTTGAATTCTTCATTTCCTTTATAAGTGAGGAATACGTGAGATTTTTCAATTTTTTCTTCTTCAGCTGCTGCTACGTTATTTCTTTCTTCTTGTTTAGGAGCAGATCTACACTCATAACTATAATGACCATACTTATTGCAATTATAACATTGTACCTGGAATTTACTTCCTTGTTGATATCTGCCCCTACCTCGGCCTCTGAATCCTCGTCCACGACCTGATGTTGGATTGCTTTCACTCATTTGATCGGTGCTATGTGATCGACCACCACGTCCACGAGTTCCTCGTCCTCCTCTATATCTTCCACGATAACCACCACGATTTCCTCGTCCTTGTGTGTAGCTGCTGCTAGCTTTTCCTTCGTTGACATTCATCTTGCTTTGTAGAGCTTGCTCCAAATTTTCAGAATCCTCATTTTGTTTCATTTTCTGCTCATGGGCTTGAAGTGAACCCACAAGCTCATCAATCGATATCTGAGATAAATCTTTTGATTCTTCGATTGCCACCACCACGTAATCGAATTTTCTTGTTAATGACCGCAAAATTTTTTCCATCACTCTAACATCATCGAGTGATTCACCATTTCTTTTCATTTCATTTACGACCGTTTTCACACGGCTAATATAATCATCGATGTTTTCTGTATTTTTCATTTTTAGCATCTCAAACTCAGCACGGAGAGTTTGTAAGCGTACCTTCTTTGCTTTTTCGACACCTTGTAGAGATTTTTGCAAAATCTCCCACGCTTGTTTTGCGGTCTTTGCATCAGAAATTTTTTCAAAGGTAGATTCGTCTACTCCTTGAAAAATAAAGAACAATGCTTTTTTATCTTTTCTCCGGGATTCCTTCAATACCTTCTTTTCTTCATTGGCCAAGGCTGCTTCTGCTGCTGTATTTTCAGGCTCGGTGTAACCATCCTCGATGATATCCCAACAATCTTGGGACCCTAGTAACGCCTTCATTTGAATGCTCCAATTGCCATAATTTGTCTTTGTCAATCTCGGGATTTGAGGTTGAATCATGTTGGCCTCAGAGCTTGGTTCGAGTTCAACGTGGTGGATAGAGCTTTCTTCAATCGGTAAACTTTGTCTTCATGTCCCTTTTTAATGTATCCAGGTGGTTGCTCAATATAAACTTCTTCTTCTAGGTAGCCATTTAAAAATGCTGACTTCACATCCATTTGATAAATTTTCCATCCTTTTTGTGCTGCGACTGCTGTGAGAAGTCTGATGGTCTCGATCCTTGCTACTGGAGCAAATACTTCATCATAGTCTATTCCTTGTCTTTGTTTATAGCCTTTGACAACTAGCCTCGCTTTGTACTTCTCAACATTTCCTTCTTTATTGGTCTTTGTCTTGTAAACCCATTTTACTCCAATTGGGTTATGGCCTTCTGGTTGTCTTGTTAGCTCCCATGTATCATTTCTTTCTATTGATGCAATTTCTTCATCCATTGCATTCCTCCATTTGTCATCTTCAACCGCTTCTTCGTATGTTATTGGATCACTGTTCACAAGCAAGCAGAAAAGTGAAACATTATTTAGTTCATAATCGTTGTACCTTTCTGGCATTTTTCTCTCTCTTGTGGATCTTCGAAGTTCTGTGGGAGATGCTTCAGGATCTTCTATTATGTTGCTGGCATCGCTGCTGCTGCTTGACGATGATGGTAGATTTTGTCGAGGATCTTGATCATCATCTTGTTCATCTTGATTGATAAGATCACCATCTTTATCTTCAAAAAATAGTCCTTCAACTTTCTTTTCCTCTTCGCTCCATCTCCAATAGTCTGCTTCATCGAACTCGACATCTCTTGAAATTATTATCTTCTTTGTGAGAGGATTATATAATCTGTAAGCTTTGCTTCTTTCATCATAGCCAATGAAAATACATTTTTCTCCTCTGTCATCAAGCTTCTTTCTGGTCTGTTCGGGAACATGGGCATATGCGATGCATCCAAAAATCTTGAGGTGTCCAACTCCTGGTTTCTGTCCACTCCATGCTTCGTTTGGCGTCATATACTTCACGCTTTTTGTTGGACATCGATTCAATAAATAAACTGCACATCGAACTGCTTCAGCCCAGAAATTTCTCGGTAGTTGCTTACCTTTTATCATGCTTCTCGCCATATCCAGGATTGTGCGGTTCTTCCTTTCTGCAACTCCATTTTGTTGTGGCGTGTATCTGGCTGTCAGCTGATGGATGATACCATGCTCTTTGCAGAATTCTTCAAATAACTTTGATGTATATTCGCCTCCTCTATCTGATCTGAGTATCTTCAAATATTGACCGCTTTGTTTTTCCGACATTGCTTTGAATTCTCTCAATTTTTCCAACGCTTCTGACTTTTCTTTCAAGATATAAATCCAACATTTTCTACTAAAATCATCAATGAAAGTTAGGTAGTACCTGTTACCGCCAAGCGATGGTATGTCAAAAGGACCGGCTATATCTGTGTGTAATATTGAGAGTGTCGTTGTAACATATTTTGTTTCGTATAAATAGAATTTTCTGAGTGTTATAAATTATCGTGAGCCCATCTACGCTTCCAACAAGTACAAGAAACCTATGTTGCACTTTCCACTTTCTTCACAAGCAATTCGCCAGCATGTATCTTTACGCTCTACTGCCAGTAAGTACCAAACGGCCCCCACTATCTGCATTTTCTACATCAAACTTGTCAAACCTTTCCAGTGTTGTATATCAAATAGACTAATGCAACCAATTTGAAGAAGAAAATACAACTTTTAGCCACTTTCATATTCTATAATTTACCTTATGTTATTGATCATGGATGCTCAAGTCGGGTTCTATGGTAGCACATGAAGTATATGAAGATACATAAGTAACAAATATATATAATTCATTACCTTGAATGGCCAAGAGAACATCTCAACTGATCTTATAAGATTAACTGAAGAAATCTCATATGAGAATGAAGTTTTTAAATAATTCTAACACTTATCAGAAGCAATGATTATCGATCCAGACACTTAAACATGGTCAAACTAATTCAAGTAAAACATTAATCCATTGTTAAAATAACATCCCCCAGAAAAACTTCTATTTGGAATTTGTAAATACATACAGTACTTAAGACATTTAAACTTGCCAATGCTCATGTAATGCAACAATATATAATGCCATTGGCATGCATCACCTTACTAAAACCCGGACATTCAAGCATCCACAGTCTGTCATGACCAGGAACAATTGCAAAAATGAACAATTTCGTGTAATAGCAAACTGATAACTTACATGACTGGCAAGCATGTACCATAGCAGATAATACGCAGCACCAACCCAAGCGCTATCAGCGAAAGTACCGGCCGTCTTCTTTAGTTCTGAAGTTAATGGTACAAAACGAAGAAACCTAGGAATATACTGAACAAATACAATGATTAGCAATGCCTGTTTCGTCGCCCATACCTCTGAACCTTTCGTTTTGTGAAGATATTTCCACACCACCATCTGAAGATAAGGAAGCAATTAAGAGAAATAACCATTTCTCATCCTATGTAATTTAGAACACAGCTGCATGCAGTATGTTATGCTACCATAACATAACATCACAATGATTAAACATAACAAATTGCTTCATGCGTCCTTAAACGTAACAAAGCCTATATTGCAGGAAAGTATGCTCAGATCAGCAACATCAAAAAGTGGGATTTTTCTTTATTTTGTGAAAGTCTTAGAGACCTTTTCTTTTGAGTTATACAGTTCTTATAATATTATTCTTATATATGTTGTAAAATGCAGTAACACATGGGTGGATATATAGGAATCCAAGTCCGTAAAGCAGATAATCATATCAACTAACATGAAATTCAATGATTATACTTTCAGTAGAATTTTATGGAGTAGCTAAGAGTAATAGCATTTTCTAATCTACTAGCACAACTCTAGATATAGAGATTGTTAAAGCAAGTAGTTTCTCAAACCTGTGGCAGGGGGAGCACAGAAAGAAAATCAACAATGAAGTAACGACTTAAATATCGTGAGGCTATCTGTGCAGGATCAATCACAAGTTCACCTCGTCCAAAAACCCTCGACGAAGGTGCAATATATGCTGTACGGAACTGCAGACCCATACGAATGAAGTAGAAAGCATCGATAATTGTCCGAATAGTAGTGGTCGTGACTCCCAAATTTACATCAATTCCAAGGCAATGCGCTCGACTATCGAAGTTGGGAAGATAGAAAAACAGTGGATCAACAGATACCGAGAGAATGCAGGACACAACAAAGAACCTATTCCATAGCAAAATAGATTTATCCTGGGGATCAAATATCATCTTATCGGACACTTTTAGATCTTCTGGGAACACAACTCGCGTGACCTCGGATTTGAGGCTGCGACCGAGTAGTAGTAGTCCTCCTGGTGCTGTCATCATCCCTATATTAAACGATTTTTTCGACGCCTTCTTTTTCCCTTGCTCTCTGTATTTGTAGCCATCTACATTAAATCCACACTTCTTGATCCCTCCAGCTCCAGACGCCATCGACATTGGAGAGCCTAAATCGTCGAACCTAGAGTTTAAAATACAACATAAAATCAAACGAAAAAACAGCAATAGATAAGTTTCCCTGCTTTATGTCATCTAAAATGCAAAAGAAAGACATTGGAAGCAAAAATAGAGAAGATTGTACACCGTTTATTAATTAGTACCCAACAAATTTCTCCTTCTGACCTCCAATAAGCTGAGACTTGTAAGCACCACCAAAAATTTTACAGAAGGGTCATGTGTTTTGCAACATGAGCCGCGTTAGTCCTGTGGATAATATCAAAAATCAAATTCGTGACAAAAAAATTTCCAGAATTTGTCAGAATGTAGCAAATGATTAAAAGAAAAACAAATGAATTACGACAGGGACGTTATATTGCATTGCGTTTGTATATTAAATATATTCTTAATGAGAAAATAAAGTTCACCGATAACTCACAGTAATTTTTTTCTGGCTGGTGCTATGGGAATGTACAATGTAGGAGGAGCAGAAAAAGGGAGGGAAAAATCAAAGGAACCGTCCAAATGAGAAAGAGAAGAATACAAGAGAGGTATTTATATGTTATTTTCCGCGGAGGTTTAAAAGTTAGTTATTACGGTTATTGGTCTTTCTAAAAGTAATAAATTAAAATGACGGTACATTTTACGTTCATCTTAAATGTCTAAATTAAGTTACGAATTCATCAAAAGCACATAATATCTTTCCTTGGATTGCCATGATATTATTAAAATCTACATTGCTCCAAATGATTATAATAATTTTAATGTTTTATACTAAATGGAACTATCCCTCAACACACCCAATGTCCAACACGTGCCCACCCATTAACCATAGCATTCAAAAGCACATCATCTCTCACAAATAATTTATCCAACACTTCTTCAAAATCCTCCATGAATAAGAACTTTGTATACTTCTTCCTACAAGAGTAAGATTTTTTACGGTTATAAATATGTGATGATTGTCTATTAAATTTATAGTGTATCACAAAATAACATCATTTTAAATTTATTATATAATGCTTACATCAACTAATGTTTATCTTATGATATAATGAAGGTCAGAACAATGAAAATAGCAGCAACACTAAAACAACTTGATTCGAATAAATTAATATTTTAAAATATACTTTTTATAATCAACCCGCCCCACCCAGATATCGTTTATATTCGACCCGCCCGACTTGATTCGAATAAATTAATATTTTAAAATAGTTAAAATAATATACTTATAATTATTTATTATATTTTAAATGGTTAAAATAATATATTTTTACCTTACACTCGATCCAGTTTGAATATATAAAAAAACTAAACTAGTAATTTATATCGGTTTGGGTCGGGTCGATGATTTCTTACCTTAAACCTGACCCCATTCCAATTTGAATATATTAATACTTTAAAATAGTTAAAATAATACATTTATAATTATTTATTATAATTTAAATAGTAAAAATAATATATTTTTCCTTAAACTCGACCCAGTTCGAATATAGATATAAAAGAATAAACTAATAATTTATATTGGGTTGGATTGAAAAGTTTTCTGGAAAATAATTTACGTAGAATGGATAACTTGAAAATTGTTTTACGTAAAATGAATTATATGAAAATTGTTTTACTTAAAATGAATTACTTAAAACTGTTTTAGGTAAAATAAATTACATTTTCTGGGAAATATTTTTCGAAAACTATTTTACGGCGTTTTGATGATATTATGTAAATTATTTTCACTAATTGTTTGATACATTATAATTAATTTTTAAAGAAAATGATTTACATAAAATGAATAAAGTTTGGTTTGGTTAATATTTTCAAAAAAAATTGGTTCGATTAGCAATTAAAAAAAATTGGATTATTCGATTAATGGTAATTCAATTCGATAGTTGATTGAATTAACCATTTGAATACCCATATATTATTAATAATTTAATAATATTATATTTATAAAAAAAATAATAGATAATATGAATTATGTTAATAATTTATTATATAGTATTAATTTAAAAATATAATATCATATATCATTATAATATATTTGAGTATATATTAATAATATTAAAATATAATATTATTAAAATTATACTATATGTATATTAAATATTTTTAATAATTAATATTTTTATTAAAATGATATTAAAATATTAATGTAATATTAAATGTATAAAGTAATATTTTTAAGTGTTTATAATGAAAAGTTAGAAAAATGTTTTACGGAAAATCAGATGGTAAAACAATTTACATAAAATACAAAGGAACTAGGAAAATGAATTACATTGAGGAAATCAATTACAACTATCAAACACCGAAAAATATTTTTCGTAAAACCAATTACAATTATCAAACACCGAAAAATATTTTACAACTATCAAACAACGTGTTGCTTCTATTTTTATTGTTCTGGCCTTCATTATATTATAAGATAAATATTAGTAGTTGTAAGCATTATACTAGAAATTAGTCTTAGAGCAGTGGTTGAGGCTATAGCTTATCATCCAAGGAGGCCCAAGTTTGATCCCCCAAGGGTAATGTTGTTTCAATTTATTTTCCTTCTATAAGATGGTGCCACATGTCACTATCTAATTGGAGAAAAAATATTTAAATTAAATATAAATTAAATTAATAAAAGTCATACAATGATATTGTGACACGTGTTAGCATATAAATAGAGGATTAAATATATTACATTAATTTAAACTTATGACCAATTTGATAGATTGTGTAAGTAATAAGAATTAAATGTAAATTACATTAATTTTATTAACTGTCACATCAGCACTTCCGTTAACCGTTAACAGCTAGTGGCATGATTGAATGCATTTAAATAGTTGGGTGGTCTAATCGACAAGAATTCAAAAATAATGGTCGAAATGAAAAAGGGCTATAGTTAGGTGGTCACTGGTATAGTTTATCCTATAGCATTTGATAATATTATAGCATTGGTCTTTCATATGCATGACCTCTAAGTGTTTAAAAGAATTGTTGTTGTTTCTAGAGGTCACATGTTTGATTACTAGGGATTGCAGCGAGGTGATTGAGCATTCACTGTCAAATGATTGTATTTAGAACAGATAATAATTTGTAATCACATTAACTTAAAAAAGAAATAATTGGTAATATTCATGGGATCGAAATATTAGTTGAGTTAAAATATTTATAATATTTAAATTTTTATTAATATAGAGTGAATACATAGTATTCGTTAAAAACTTTTAACTATTGGACAGTGAATACTCATATCCCTAAGTGTGTGATACTGAAATTCAAAATTTTAAAGAATAACAATAGTTATTTAATCACTGAAGTTGTTTAGTTTGTACCTAGTATAAAAATATTTCGATTTGAATAATAATTAAAAATATTTTAAATTAAGTCATATAAAATAAAAGAGAAATTCACAATCCAATTCATTTCTCACCCATCCTAATCAAATGTCATCCCTAACCCCGTGCAATGTTATGTGATCGTTGATTAATAAAAGTTATCATTTGAAAAAAATGGCACAATGAAAAAACAAAGCATTGTAAACTAATTAATTATTGAAAGGTGATTATAATAAATTTTAAGAGTAATCGAATTTTATTAAATAATTAGAGTAAATTATAGGAATGGTCACTTACCTTTTATATAAGTAAATTTTTGCTCATTGAATTTGAAAAAGTTAATTTTTGATCACTTGTATTATAATTTTATAAAGTTTTGGTTATGATACGTTAAGTGATGTTAGTCTAATGATGTGACACATTAATAAAAGAGTTTAATTTTTGTTTTAACACTTAAACTTTATATAAAATATCAATACGAGTCTTTTCATAAACTCAAAATAATTTGGGGACAAATTATCAATTTATTCGTTACTCTTGGTTTTTCTCCACCAGCAAGTTCAAGGGCCGATGTTCGGCCATCGAATGAAAGGTGCAAGTTATCACCCTCTTCTGACCTATAATCTTGATAAATGATAATCCCCCACCTGCTTATTCAACTTACCGTTCTGCCATTTAGCAGGCAGCACACTCGGGGGCAATAATCCCTGAGAAACCAAATATTCCGCCGTAAGACAGCCAGCTTCCATAAATATGTCAGTGCGTTGAGGCGGATGCGATTGAAATGATTTTCGGTGGCTTTGACCACGCCCAAAACCACGCTTGAAGCTGCGGTACTCTCAATTATAAAACCCATGGCCTGTACCTGATGTTTCAGGGGGTATGAGGGAGGAGGAAAGCCCCACCGCCATAGAATTAGACCTGTAGTCATTCCCGGTGTTTCTATGTCTGGCATGCATGTTTCAAGCAGAGCATCTACAGAGCGTGCTTATTGAGTGAGTATATCGTGAGTTAGACAATGTTCGACTCATACTTGTTAAAAAAAATTTGTTACTCGACTTGACTCGTTGCTCGTTAAGCTTCCTAAAATTTTTATCTACTCGTACTCGTTAAAAAAACTTATTGTTCGACTCGTGCTCGTCGCTCATTAAGCTCGTTGCTCAGTTAGTCACTCGTTAACCCCGTTGCTCAACTAGTCGCTCGTTAAGCACGTTACTCAGCTCGTTGCTCGTTAAGTTCACTGAAATTTTAATCTTATTTTTTTAACTATAGGTAAAATTTATAATACTATAAACTAATAGATAAGTCATTTATCATGTTTTAATTATCTATTAGTAAATTAGTAATTTTTTAATGGAAATATATTTTTTTAAATAACTACTAAGAAATTTATAAAAAATTTAACGAATTGTTCACGAACTTCCGAGTCGAGTTGGACTCTATTCGACTCATCTCGTTAAGTTCTCGAGCCGAGTTCGAATTCGAGTCAAGTCAACCTGAGTCGAACTTTTACTTAGTTTTGACCAAATTGAATTCTAGTTGCTCACGAACTGCTCAACTCATTAAACTCCCTTGTACACAGCACGTGGAATATCAAGGAAAACCCAAGAGAAAAACAAGAAATTAAATTTTGGGTATTCACTTTCATTAGTTTCAATCCATTGCTAAAGATTT